GGGATTTTCTGATGATGAAATATGGGAAGAATTATAGGCAGGGCTTTCAGAGACCATAAACAAAACAAAACAAAACAAAATAAAAAACTTTCTGAAGAAATCCAGGTATGAAAAACCAAACTGTGGCAGGAAGGTTGGAAAAAGAAGGGCTAACTCCAGGACGCATTTCACAAAATGGATTCTGATTTGAAGGATAATGGTTTGGGGAGGTGAAGGAAAGGGAGGAGTCAAAGATGACTCATGCTTCTAACCTGAGAGACTGCCTCGTGTTGCTGGCACACCTGAGAATGGAGAAACTGGATGGGGCAATCCCCAGCAGAAGACGAATGATGATGAATTCTGAGTTTCCCAGAACAAAGCATACATTAATTTTAGCCAATCGACATTGAAAAGTATATTATTTACTTTGGGTCCCTATTAAGGGACTATTAAGATTAAACGATTAAACTATTAAGATTAAATCATGAGTATGCTGGAGAGCACGGTATACTCCGGGATTCTGTTCCAATGGCACTTGCCTTCACTTCCATAAAAACACTGCACAAAAAATTAGCCACAAGAGCAGGGCCAGAAGAAAACCTCACTCCTCTGATTTTCACAACCCTCACCAGTAAGAGGCCTTATAGGCTCTATCAACATAAAATAGCACAATAGTTTCCTTTTAACAATTCAGGTACCATAGGTATAACAACATGCATGGATCCCACAAGCCACCAGTTAATCAATAATTTCAATCTTTCTTCTCACATTTTCCCCTAGAGCTGCTGACAAAAAAAAACACAAAAAACAAAAAACAACTGAGTTCCTTTTGCAAGCACGTTGGATGTCTGAGAGCACTGACAGGTGGTATAAGGAAGAAAATGGGGAGGCTGTAAACTCAAATGAGTCAGACCTTTGGAGTGCCATCACTGGCACTCATGATCTGGAAAAACCTACTGTATGGGGGTGGGGGGTGTGGAGAAACTGGTTAAAATCCAGGCCTGGGCACATAATAACCATATGAACATTGATAAATTACTTAACATTTCTATGCCTCAGTTGTATTATCTTTAAAATAGGAAGATCATATTACATAGTTCAAAGAGATGATGTAAGTATCAACTTAGGAAACATACGTAAAGTACTTAGTTCAGTGCTTGCCAATGGTAAAGTCTTCAATAAATATTCACTCCTATTAATATTTTTATTGCATCCATGAAGACAAAAAGTATGCTTTGGAGGTCAAAAGACATGCTAGGAATGCTAACTTTGCATTCACCAAAGCTCCTGAGTCACATCTGGATGGGAGGTATTCTGTATAACCTTGTGATAAGACAAATGTGGAGATCATTCAGTTAGCGGTTAACCCTTTCAAACACAGGATGGGCTAAATTTCTTATCTTCTGAGGGATCAGGGGTATTAGAAAGTGACAGCCTAGAGATTGTTGGGGTTTAATTCAGTGTATTATCATATTTGTACAATAAAATTTCCATTATTCTCTTAGTGACATTTTTGCACACTTGAAAAATATTGTTTTTCATTAGCTTCATAAAAATGTGACTCCTTGTTTAGCAAGACTGATTTTTTGGAGGCCACTTGTCTCAATATGGCAGCATCTTACTGTCCTTGAAAAGTAGTGGGTTCCTCAGCGATGGGAACTGCTTGCCTGTACTTTCATGAGGATGTATGTGTTAAAAGGAAACAAAAGTAACTCACTGTACATTATAGCTTGACTTAGTCTAAAGGCGATTTGGGCGTTTGGTTTGGTTTAGTTTGCTTTTGCTACTAAGCATGCTATTTTGACTTTAAAGTTTGCCTCTCAACAAGCCACTGCACGTAGGGATTATGAGAAGTTGGAACTACTTCAAACTCAGCGCCTCAGCCCATTTCTTCTCCGTGTGAATAAGAAGCATCTGGGTCTGCCTGCCAGCCTTTGGGAAACTTTCTTTACCTGGGACTTGTTATTTGTGGGAACAAGTTACCTAAACTATTGGTGGAAGCACAAAAGGGAGTAAGTGAAGGCAGACAGTGCCAAAAGTAAGCATTTTGCCCCAGACTGGCACTCACCACGGCAGGGACCGCAGCAGCTTCCTTACTTCCCCAAAATCCAGACCTCTCCAGATGCCCATCAGTCAGAAAGCCTATGAAGGAATCCTTTGAGTGGCTGATTATATTTGTTCTGAATGGTTTATTAGTCCTACATACCTGCCTGGCTAATCTGGGAGCAGAATATGCCCACAGGATGACAACTCCCATTTTTCACCATAGCTGAGTTTCAGCTGGGGTGTAGTCTGGAGTTTCATTTTCATTTCTCTATTGCCCAACTAGTACTGAAGAAGCCACTGTAGCCTGAAAAGGACTTTTACTCTGTGAAGCAGGATCCGATTTCTAAGATACCAGAACTACAATGATTCATGCAGAATTTGTCAAACACAGGCAGCATTCTACATTCAAAACTAATATTTAGTATAATTCTGATACATACATCAGAATCCTCATATTTTTGATTTCATGATAGAGACAGAGAAGGTGCTTATATTCTTAATTTCTAATTTTTAGTCTGCTTTCTGCAAAACCTAAATAATAAAACATGAAAAGTTAGTACTGACTCCTAGGTGTAAGAATGTCAGTCCAGGAGCATAAAACCAGATTCAGGAGCCAAAATGTCTGGGTTCACATTCTGACACCACCACTTACTAACTGTGCAATCTTGGACAAGTTACTTAATCTCTGAGTCTTGGTTTTCTTGACTGTGAAATGAATAATACAGCCATTACATATATATGAGATCAAGAAATATTTATCATTATTATTATTAGCTCATTTTAACCTTTTGGTACAATAGATATGAGAAATATAGAGAAACAACAATAAAAAAGAATTAAAAAACCTAAATTTAAACTTTCCTTTTGAAGTTATTCCCTATCTACCACAAAAGAGAAAAAAAAATAGCTGCATTGATACTAGTTTTAGATTCTCTACATTACTCTACAGAATAGCATCTCCAATTATAAGATCACATTTTAACTTCTGTTGATTATGAGTTGAAATCTTGGACATAATTTATGTTTAGGTCTGTGCATAAGAGGGTAAGATACAACACAAATCTCACAGACTAAGAATAAGAAAAGGTAGCTTTCAATACCTTTCTCTCTTATCCCACATTATTGAATTTTGGCAAATTAAAATCTCCTTGAGTCCCAGCGTTCTCATGTGTAAAGTGAGAGAGTCTCCTTTACTTCTAATAACAAACCAATAAACTATTTTTTAGACGGAGTCTCATAAGGTCTGAGAGATAGCAAAAATACTTTTAGTGTTTGAACTTTTCTTAATTTTGTTCCCTCCTACCCATAAACATAAAGATAATTGCCTCAAAGCTAATATTATTAGAGTAGAATAATAGGTTCATAGTAAAAAATGGTTATTCATTTCCTTTTGGATATTGTGTTTTTGCAGAGGCTTTTAGATTAGGTCTGTGAGGCTCGTGTCACATGGTCTTTCCACATTTTGCTTAGTAATTTACGGGGATTGTAAGAGCACTCCATGATTTTCCCCATGAATCTCTAAATCCTATCAGGTGGAGCCAATTTAAGACTATTCGCTCGCACAACTTATATTGCTCTCTTGGAAGTTTTAGGAAAGGAAGTTTATATAACTGAAAAAATCCTTAAGAACAAAGAAATTGGTGGAAATAAGTTGTTGAAAGGAACTAATAAACTCCTTTTATCACTATTGCTAGCAAATTGATAATTAGCATCTTTAACCAGAATACTTCAAAGGGTATTTGAATTTTTGTGCTGAATGCATTATTTCTGAAGTCCATGTTACTTAAGATACACAAGAACACATAAATTTGAACAGTATACAATGGAACTAATCTGTTATAAAGAACAAATACACATAAAATGAAGAGAACAAATTATGCTGTTTTTATAGACAACCTAACCAAATCTTATCAACAACTTTTCATAATAACTTGTACAAAAGTCCTTTAGAAATGATAAGGTGTTATTCAAATGTAAGGGATTATTTGCTCTAGCACCAAGGATTTAAATGCTTCACACTAATTTAACTGACGTTTTCTTTTAAATTATCATATTGTGTACGATTCAAGTAGATTCCACCATGGCTCTCATTTTACTTCTTAGGACTAGGTAACTGAAAAGCACTGCACTTATTTTAAAAAGCCACCAGTTCATTATTTTCTTTACAAATAAGTCAGCATAGTATTCTTTTATATAGTGAATTACCATAATTCATCTGAAATACAATTTGATTTTTCAGAAATCTGATTTTCAAGAAGCTTTTTAGGAGATGGTGGCTTTGTGAAACTGACTCCAAAGTTTAAAAACAAAAGCAAAACAACATTGGTCAAATCTTTGGGGTTAAAAAGTTCATCCTGCACAATTCTGAAGACTTCTGAGTGTCTTCTGCATTTCCATTCTAAATCCAAAAGGAATCATGAACTGAGTTGGACACTGTCTCCATTTTTCAACTTGGTAATGACTAAATGTAACTGAAACAGCACTAACTGGAAAACAATCTTCTTTTAAATAAATGTGTTGATACATTTGCACCATTCAAATATTAGTCCTGCAGAGAGATGAGATTTTTGTAGTACTCTGGATTTCATTAGTTCAGTTGATCAAATTCCAGGCTATGGCTTCTGCTATGACACAAAGTTAAAGGAGGATCTAGCTTGAGATGGCTGCTTGTTTGTGTTATGCACACCCTGGTGAGATTTATGAGATTAATAAATGACTCAAAATTTTACAGTTAAAGATTAAAACATATTCTGGCTCCTACATACTTTAAATTTTTCTAGATAAATTTTATAGGCCCAATTTCTTACTAATTCAAAAGACTGGGAAAAAAACCATACTAAGTATTTACACAAATACTTCCAAGTGGAAAAACTACCCTCAAAAATAAATTTTAGAATAAAACGCTAAAATGGTAGCCAAATAAATTTTAACCAGCATCCAAAAGTTAGGGAAACAAATAAATTTCATTTACTTACAAGTTGGTTTTGCTCTTGGAGGAAATTTGGTCCGAGTAATAGCCAAAATTATGAAAATCATAACTGGCCATAAAATCAAGACAAGTGTCCAAAGCTGCAAAGTAATGATAGAAAAAATGTTAATTATATTGCTGAACCCAAAACTTGACAAGAAGTACATTATACTATAAAATTCTAACACAAGCCAGATATTTGCCTGTAAATATTATTAATAAGAAAGGAATGTGAGGTTTTTAAAATGCAAGAGAACTTGAAATAAATACAAGAAGGATTTTTCCAGGTTTAAAACCTTAAAGTGACCTTCTGAAGCCCCCTTTCTAGTCACCTTTCATGACTTCTCCAAGAGTGATGATCTTAAAATGCAACAAAGGATCAGGAACTTCCTACTTGAAAATCCTTTAAAGTTTCCCACTTGTTTGTTGGATAATGCTCAACATGCTAAACAGGGCATACGAAACCCAACATAATTTCAACCTGGACATATCTTACCACTTCCAGTGTCATCATTCTATGCTCAGGCATGAAGCTTAGTGTGTGACATTGGATAATGGCTCAATAAACATTGTTGAACAAATGAATGAACAAATGGTTGAATCAACAAGTAAATGAGTAAACAGAAATGTAAGGTTCTATGCAACCCCTTCCAAACCACTATAAATAGTGCTTTGTGTCTGTTTCTATCATAGAACTTATACTTTTATCATCAGTAATTTTTTTACCTGGCTTACGAAATAAACTGGCAATTCTTTTCTGGCAAGAACAGTGTCTAATTCATCCTTGAATTTCCACTGGTACAAAACAGATGTTCAATAGACGTATATTGCATTGGAATTTCTACTAGAGAATTTCACTGTGAGACACTTCAGGAGCAGCTTTCCTCTCCATATAAACATGACTCAGTTCATAAGACACTAACTGCTTAATATTTTACACACCTATAAAATTGGTTCCAGAGCAGTGAAAAACATGTATTCACAAGAACATTAACTGTGATATTCAAACAGTTATAGTGCTCAAGCCAAACCATACAGAACAAACTTTGCTTATAACCAAAGTTAAACTTGAATGATGTTTCTGTCTGGTTATGCAGTCAGACTTGTTCTTATTCCTCCCCCATTTTTCAGAGACAATTTGCTTCTGCCAAATCTCAAGCTACTGCCTGGGGCTCTTCAATTCTCCAAAACAATCTAGACCCTTTAAAATGTTGATCCTTAAGTAACTCTTAGCCCAAATTTTCCATGAAAATCTCCAAATGTCTCTATCAGCATTGACCTTCTTGCTGGCAGCAATCTGTCATGAAATTCTTAGACTTTGAGTCTAAAGACAATTTTTTTTTAAAATGGAGGAAATTGACTGTAGATCTGGCAAATCCTAAGGTACTTGGTTTAATCATGGCTTAAGAGCTCCCAAACAGGCTTAACAGCCTAGTCTATAACAACACTGCTCAAGTATTAAGGTGCATACTAAATTGCCTAAGGATCTTGTAAACTTGTAGATGTGGATTCAGCAGATCTGAGGCTGGCTGGAGGTACTGTATTTCTTTCTAACAGCTCCAGGTAGATGCTGTTGCTGTTGCTGTCCATGGACCAAACACGGAAGAGCAAAACCGTCCTTTAGAAAAGGAACTTAATATATGGGTCCATGGACCACACATGGAATTCTAAAGGCACACCACTCTACCTAACTAGCAGGATGGTTTACAAAGTCTTGAAATATTTTTGTTGGAAAGCTCCTTAGAAATCATCTAATGAACAGAATTCAGAGCAATTGTAAACTTTGATAGAAAAAAAATTACATTTGAATTTTCTCTAGCTTATGAATGAAATTTAGCACTTCCATTAACAATGAATATAGGCAATGAATCACATGTTATTAGAAGTAACTGTGACTTTGTCACCAACAGAAACCACAGATATTTTCAAATCATATTAGTATGCTGCAGAGACCTCAAAGTACTGTTTACCCTCATTGTAGTATTAAAATTACAGCACTTCTGAATTCACCTATATTTATTTATCTATCTACTTATTTATTTAATACTATAATAAAAAAGTATTACCATATCATAGACTTGTTTTTAATACCTTAATAACTGAATTTCAGTATAATCGGTTTTATTTATAACCTTATTGACTTTATTGATTTTATTGATTTAAAATCATTATTCTTAGATGGGCCACAGACTTCACCAGGCTGCCAAAGACATCCATAGCACAGAAGAGATTAAGAAGCCTTGATCTGATCCAACTGCCTTTTTATTCTCTGGGCTACATACCCAGTTGGGAAGCAGAGCAGGGTACAAGGATCTGAACACCAAGATACTTACTCTGGCATTTTAAAAAAGTGTATATATATCATACTGTTCTGAGGAATAAGTAAGAAAGTATTACAGAAAGTATACTGGAAAAAAACAAGTGTGATAGAAATATAAGATGTATTATTATTCTCACCTAGTCTCTGTATATTTGAAAATCTGAGCCTTCTTCAAAGATCCTAAACACAAGGTACCACTTTTATACTATGTGACTCATTTGAAATATAGACTATAAAGAATCAAGGTTAAAAACAGTTAATGCTTGTGGATTGATTGGTTTTATATTTTAAGCCATAGTTATTCTTTTAAGAATGTATTCATCTGAGCAGGTTTAGTGCCCCATAGCTACTTTTAGGAACATCTATTCATTTTCCATAGCAACCTCATGAGAATTCAGTGAGCAACTGAGATCAACTGCATCAACACAAATTTACATTCACATTCAAATAAGGGACATATGTCATGGAATATCTTTAAGTTATCTTTTGGTTGATCTAATTTGATAGTTTCATGAGGATGTTTTGATAAATTTTGAAATTAATTTTAGACATGATTTAAACCCAGACAAAAATGTAATCTATATCAGAGTAGGTTAAGGTAATTTAGACTCAGTTATAGGTAAAAATGACAGAAAGCCCGTAAACAATCTATTATCACAAGATTTCCCCGATGATTTTAGGTCAGAGAGGTTTGGAGAACATTTCTGCATAGTGCACTTTAGAAGGATAATAAATCCAAAGCCCTCCACACTGTGATCTCAGGAATGTTAAGGTTGACAAGTTAATCACAAAAGCAAGAAATGAGCAAAATTTAAATTTTCATAGCGGCAGGATTTCTCTCAACACCATTCTAAATATTATCATAAATGACCTAGAAAAAAATCCAATGTCAAGGATCCAAATACTAAACTGATGAGCCATGACTTTTTTTGTTTGTTTCTTTGTAGAAAGGGCTAAAATATTGATTCTATATACGTATAGACACTGGGGCTACTTGAAAACTTTGGGAAAAAAGTTTTTTAGAGTTTCATATTCTTGCTAATATTTTAATTATCTCACAGTGCCTCTATAGCTCACTGGCATTCCATTCCATACCCTCTGCCTTCTTGACATCTAAGGATATATGCACACTGAGTAATTTACAGTTCCTTAGTGACCATGACACTTGTCTCTTTTTATTTCTCCAGGGTATATATATGTTCCATTGAGATGTCCCATTCTGTTCTCTTTTTATACATTTTCCCCTTTCTAGAAAGTTCAGTGCCCAAAAGTCCTTAGGGGCCCACCAAAGAAAGTCCACACTAGGACTCGGGGCATCATAGTGACCCAGTGAGGGAGGTGGATCCCTAGCAAAGTGAAGAGGACACCTGCAGTGCAGCAGGCAGACATGGAGTGTGAGAACCCAACTAGGGTCAGGAGGGTGTCTGTGCAGGGTGAGGAACAGGCAATCAGGAAGGCTGATTAAAAAGTAAATATATCCCCCATTACAGGAGCCAGGTTTCTCACTATCCATCATGGAAATTACAAACATGGAAAAGGAGGAAACTAGAATGAACCTTATAGTGTTGAGTTAGAACTGAAGATATGAGTATGAACTGCTGGTTCATGAAATATAGCTATATATGTGTATGCATAGCGTATTTGTATCTTTCCTTCTTTCTGGTTCTACAAGTTGTTTCTGCCTCATTGTGTACTTTCTATGTCCCAGTCCTGAAAATACCCATTTTCAAGAAACACTGGCTTCTTTTAGTAGATGAGGACTAAGTGTGCTTGTTGTTATTGGGATGTCACTGGTTCTGAGCCTGAACAGAGCTATAGAATATATGTATATAGACACAAAGACACATAGACAGACAGACAGACAGATCATCAGTTCTGACCCACTGGCCCACATTAAACATTAAAGGACATTATGATAATAAAAGATTATTATCTAACTGAATAAACTAGGGATCCATGAGTCTATGTAGATATAAATAAATGCATAAGGAAACAGGCAGATAAATTGAAAGTTTATGAGGAATGGAATATGTACATTATCTCAAAGTATTTCCCCATAAAATGGGACAAATTGACATCTTGCACCATCTAATGTGATGCAATACGAAGAACAGAGCATCATGTCTGTGTTATTCCTTCCAGAGATGAATAACCGAGTCTCTACAAAAATACAACAGATACTTCACAAAAGAAATGGTCTTCAATATTCAAAATGTATCAGGGTCATGAAAGTCAAGGAAAGACTACCGATCTGCTACAGACTGAAGGAGACTAAAGACCTGAAAATAGATGCAGAACGTGATTCTGAACTGGACTGTTTTGCTATAAAGACCATGATTGAGAGAACTGGTGAAGCTTACACTGGGTCTAAGGATTTGATGTTGGTATTGGGTTATGTTGGAGGATGTCCTTGTTTGTGAAATGTGCACTCTAAACTATGAGGTAATGAGGCATCAGTCTCAACTAGTTCTAGAAAAAATATATTTGTACTGTTCTTGCAACTTTTCTTTAAATTTGAAATGATTTTAAAATTGGAATTTTTGAAATTATTTTAAAAGTAATTCTTTTTGAAAATCTAGAACCAAATTTTTAAAGACAGGAAATAAGAAGAGATAAAAGACCAATAAGAGATTTAAAAAAACATATTTTATATGCAGGAACTCTAGCCTGTTGCATGCAGGTGGTAAGGTTTGGAGAATTAATGATAAGAGGGTACATTTCAGTGACCTTGAAGTCAGTGAAGTCATCTGCTCAAAATTCTAGGTTTAAATCTTAAGAAAT